TGCAGATGCTATAGAAAGTATAAAGAATAGCATGCAAATTCCCTCTAATACCATTATTTTATTCATACTTACGTACGTTCCTGCAAAAATACAATTATAATAAACAGTTTCATAAGCATAATTTTTAATTTATCTTATAATAATAATAATAATAATAATAATATGATCTTACGCATAAAATCACATTAATAACACACATTAATTTTGCTATTACGTACATTTGTATGGTAAATGCAGTGGACAACCACTTTTCCAAAACTCATAATGTATAAACTTATGGGTAGCAAAATTAAATTCAAATCCATCTAATCATCCGTTTATTTATTAGCCCAATTCATTTTAACTCATAAAAAAATGGTTGATACTTAACTCAAATTGCCTCAAGAGATCTTGTCAAAATATTTTTAAAAAATTAAAATAAAATTTGATATATATATAGAGAGAGAGAGAAAACAATTCTAATAGGTACTAGATATTTTTTAAAAGATCAAGTAAAACATTTTAAATTTAGTAAAAATAGATTATGTTGGTTTTGACCCGTTTTATGATATATTATCTGATCCATTTTGATCAAACACTTTTGCTCCAAATATATTTGAATTGAATTGGACCTTCGACTCATTTGTTATTAAGATCCATACGACTCATCTAAATTTAATTCGATCCGACCAATTGCCACACGCACATGAACTAAAGTAAATGTTTCCATTCAACAAATTCCAAGTGTAAAGAATACAAATTCTTTCAAAAATAGAAGCATGGATATCAAGAACCAATTAAATAAAAAGGAGAAGTTCTCTTCTTCTTCTTTTTTTTTAAAAAAAAGAACACTCAAAAACGAATAATTTACCCTTTTTTTTATAGCACAAATAATGTATGGTTTAGACTTATCCTTTTCAAAGACAATGTTACCCCCTATATATATAGTGAAATCAATTAATAGAATTTAGATAAACAACAGACGTTATAGTTGAATAAATGGTTAATTAAGAGATGTACCATTTAATTAAAATTAATAAATAATTTATTCATCTATAACGTGTGTTACATATTTAATTATATTAATTGCTCTCACTATGTATACACAGAAACATTGGCTTTGAAAAATGTAAGTCTAAATCATACATTATTGTGCTATAAAAAAATGAGTAAGCGGATTTTATTTATGTTTTTTCTTTAAAAAGAAGAAAACTTCTCCTTTTTATTTAGTTGGTCTATATTTGAAAGAATCTTTGATCTTTACACTTGAAAAGCAATTGCTCACTGCAATTTACCGTACCAATGCAATATTCATCCACACATCATCATTCTTAATAAGAGAGGGTTTCGTCGAAGGGTAAACTGGTAATTTCTATTTTCAATTTCTTTCTTTGGTTGAGGCGTGTGTTTCAATTCCACCTTTAATTTGTGGTAGCTGGCTGATTCTAAAAATCTTTGCGGAGCCATATCCCTTCCGAAAGGAAGGCGTCGTCTTTGCCTTTCCGTCATCAGTTGCTGTGTGTTTTTGAAAGCTCCTTTATTTCCATGGAAAACAACACATTCACTATGTGCTGATTCAAATCAACTCCTCAGAGGTTCTCTTTTACGAACGAACAAAAAGGTATGCTTGCTTCTGTTTCTGATTTGATGAGTTTTCTTCTTCTAATGCATCTTTCCGCCGTCTGTTCAATGTTGTATTTGTTACTTTAAATTGTTACCTTCGGTTTAACCCTAATGTTATTTTGACTTGGGGAAAATTTGTTATTGAAACCATCCTAGCTGCAAGGGGTTTTTCACATTTGAGTTTAAATTTGAAAATATTTCTGACTCAATGAAAGATTTAACTTATTTCTGCTTATAATTTTGAGTTATTTCGTCATTAGATCAACCAAAAGACTGATGTTTTTACCTCTGAACAGATGAAAGAATATAAAAATGAAATGGAAATAAAGAAAATATTTGAAAAGCATATTAACTCTCGAAATTGCATATAAACTAGAATAAAGGAAACATTTTTTTTTATTTTTCCCCTTCCAAAAATGCCCCCCTGTACGTGTAGTAATGAAAAGAAGTTTGGTCTGGAGTTCACGAGGTTTTGCTCTTAGTAAGTGGTTATTTTGGTTGACGATAATATTGAGTACTTTTTCCGTATTGTATATGCGATCAGATCAATAAACTACTCTCTGTTTTCTACATTGCTATCGCTCTTATTGGTCTATAAGGACTCTGAGTCTTAGACATTAATTGACATGTCCAGCGTTGAACATAAAAAAATATTACTGTTTCTCTTACAATACATAGAAGATGATTGTTCAGGTAGGAAAAGAAGAAGAGGACAACCAACTGTTAAACTTGCGAAAGAGTTATTAAAAATGATATATAGATGGTGATAGTTTAGGTAGGAAAAGAAAAAGAGAACAAACACGTGTGAAATGAAACCCCGTTCTCTCTTCAATTAACTTGGGAGTAAAAAGATCAAAACTTTGCAAGACAACTGCATCATTTTAAAGATTTTAACAATATAAATAGTTCCCCTGTTGCAAACTGTGCTACATGCCAGTGGTTAGATCGATAAGCTACCTTGGTTCTCTCTATTTTCTACATTGTTGTCACTCTTAGTAGTCTCTCAGGATCTGGATGTAGTCAAATTTTACGAAGGAATTATTAGAATTGATGAAAAAGTAACACACATACGGATGGATTACTAACAATAGAAAGAAAGAAGATATCAAATCTTGAGGAAAAATTATAGAAAAAATAATCAGCTGATACCTGAAGGGGCAAAACTATCAACAGTAACAGAGGAAGACGAAGCAAGAGAGGTAGAGCTTTGATTTTGGCTACGGGAGTACCTGTAGAGGCATCACCTCAACTCTCAGTCTGAGGCATTAATTAACCTGTCCTGTGCTATCCAAAAGAACATAAAAACCCATCATTTTCCCCTTATAATACATAAATGGTGATAGTTTAGTTAGGAAAATAAAAGGAGAACAAATTGTTCGCGGGTGAAACTCATGAAAAAGTTATCAAGAATGATACGCACATAGTGATAGTTCAATTAGGAAAAGAAAAGGAGAACAACCAATTGTTCACGTGTGAAGCTCGCGGAGAAGTAATAGTTCAAGTGTGTTTATTTCCATTATCTCTTCAATTAACTTGTCAAATGTGAATCTGATAACTGGGGAACTTGTGGACTGAAATTATATGTAATTCGTGTAGAAAACATTGCTTCTGTTACCTCAAAGGAGGTCTGTCTTCTCAGAGTTAATAATATTGCAACATTTAGGCAGATGAGTAACCGACTGCGTAATATAAGTTAGAATTGTCTTTAAAACTTTTCCTAAAAGGAAAAAAGATGCATGTTACTCATTTGTACTTCTGTTTCTTGCTTTGGTGTGATAGTGTTTTCCTCTATAAACAGAAATTGTTATTTTTTCGGGCACCAATTTTATATGCCACAACACTTGCTTATTTCGTTGTGATTGATCCCAAGCAGCCGTTACCTCTCTACCTTAACACTTACGATGAAGAAAATCCTTAGGAATAAAATAGTTTAGTAATCTGGAAATACATGAAATTTACGAGCAAATAGGACTTACGAAAGACACTCAGTTCACTACCTATGTCTATGTATTGCTAAAAAGGAAATTTCAAGTTTGTATGGTTAAGCAAGGGCAAGAGTTTGAAGATGACGTTGAGGGAACAGCAGAAGTTTCTTGGGAATAAAAACAGTAAAACATTTTAATGTTGAAAGGTATCATGCTCTCTAACTTTAGCAATACACTTTTGCGGGGGCCATTTTCTTATTTGTACTAAAGTTAAACATGGAGGTTCAATTTAGAATAGAGGGGGGGAGTAAAACAACATTTTATATATTTTTCTACCAAAAGTTTCTACATCGGGTATTTGTCTTTTCAATTAGAATTTTAATTAATAGCAGAGGTAGTAAGTTTTTCACTGGGTGGGATTCAAGAGTTTGTGTATGAATTGTTCAATGTCTAGGTACGAAAGAATTATGAGCTTTCAACTTTTCTTGAATTCCTGCCGAGACTAGCCAGCCATCTAATAGAAACTCATGTTTCTACCCAAACTTAAAAGGGTTGCTGGTTATGACCTCTTATTGGATGTGAATAGTATGATATATTTCATGGAGGTACCGTGTTATAGCTATAATATTAATGGTGGTACTTATGATACTGGGATAGTGAATGTACGAGAGCACCAACTCAGCACCACTACATTTTATTTTGATGGTTCCCTATTTCATGTTATAATTTGGATGCTTTATTGGGGGTATCTGGAGATTAGTTATACCAATTAAACTTATTTCGATCACCCTTTATCTAGTCTAACTAAATACATGAGTGCACTTTTTATATAAGCCTCAATAAAATGAACAATATCGACATTAATTTGCCAAATTAAGAACATTCGATAATTTGAACAAATATGATTAGTAAAAGATACTTCAATACAAAAGTGGGGGAATTCATTCAAAGTTATAACTAATAGAATTTAAATAAAAATAGAAATAAGACTTAACTAAATTACAATTGAAATAAAACTAAATACGAAATAAACTAGCTGGGAGAACCCGGTTGACGATCTTGGGTCATTAACCCATTTAACTCAAGCAACGAATTTAGTATATTAGCTTCCCTTTTATCCAATTTCGATAAAAACATTTGGGTCCGTCTCCATCAATCAAACTGTATATTCAGGAACCACATTCTTGTGTCACCTCTTAGACATTTTTTTAAATAAGAAACCACAACAATAAAGATAAAATTCTCTGTTTTAGAACTTCCTTCTTTGATAAGCTAGAGTGTAACTATTAGGATGAGTTTATCAGCCCACTCGATTCTCCTTTAGCCTATCTGAAAATTATGACAAAGAATTATAAAATAAAATAAAAACATTCCATATCGATTTAATTCTTCACAAACAAACATAATGTTGGTGATGGCATACTATCCAAATATCATTCATTAATAATCAGTTTTACAAAGCACTAGTTAATTTCAGTAGCAATCCCTAGCAAAGGGATATGGGTCGATATGTTGATGATTTCCGGTCCGATCGAAGAACCAATCACCCACAGCTTCTGCAATTGTCTGCATAATAAATAAAATGTTAGAAACAAAAATCAAGTAGACAAATAAAATAAAACTAAAACAAAAAATTACTACCTTATTATATATTGTTGGACCGGAAGTATCGAACCAATACTTGTCCCATATAATATCCTGATGAATATGACAAGAGGTGATAAAATAACCCCTTGTAGAACTAGGGGTACCTCCACCAAATGCCTTCATGAACTCCACTCCAAAATCTATCATAGAAAGAACAAAAAGACAAATTAAAACACCATCTGAAAGTTAAAATTCATTGATCACAAAATATATATATATATATGCTAACCTTTAATAATTGTACGTTGGCTAAACGTGCAACTATTTATTTGATTCTTGCATTGATCCCAAACATGCTGAGGATCGAGATCTGAAGGAATCAAACTGTTGTTGATCTGAAAAGAGTTTTTCTTTTAGATCAACAAATTACCAAAATAATTGTTAAAACAAGATTAATTAGTGTTCGTTCTTAACCTGCCAAGAGTCATATGCTGAATTGAATATAAATAGTGGAGTCTCGACATTTGGAACGACATGTTGAGGGAAGAAACACTGTACCATCAATAAGAAAAATTAATGCTATGAGTATTAAGAAGGCAATATGAATATATATATAATAAACTCTTAATAGTAGAAGATTTTTGCTTATAAATTAGTATACCAGACTTGGTTCCATTTTAGAAGTGCAAGACATGGGCAAATTTTTAACTGATCCCTGAAATGAAAAGAAAGAGAAATATATATATATAAATATGTACACACCTTACTATATAAAAGACTTAAAAAAATATTTAACTCACATGTAAATCTTCAACATTCTGGTACATCTTTTGAATATTTGGAGCACCAGAAATTGTATTGCTGCATAGAAAAATAAAACGATGAAACGCTTGACCAATTCCACATTTAAGGCAGGGTAATATTTTTATTTGTTACTTTGATTAATTTAAATTTAAATTAAAAAAAGAATTATATCTAAACTTCTGATCCACGGCTAATGATGGACATGATGCATGTGTTCCATAGTATCTAATATGGTTCATCGAAATCTTGTAATTTTTGTTTAAATGGTAAATTAAATTCTTGTAGTATATTAATTGAAAAGCAATATAGGAATCGAAAGAAGTATAATGATTTCACGTTATTAGTAGTGTTGGATAAAAGTATAACTATTAGATTGTGATTTTAAATTGGAAACACATTGTAATTCAAAGTTGAGGGGAAAAATAATTTTACTTTATGAATGTTAATTTGTTCCACAGGATAATTCAAATATCTTTTAATCTCCAATTTAATACAATAAATGGCCACTAACGGTATAATGTTAAGAAAATTATGAATTTTGTATTTTTCAACTTGAGAAATAATAACAAAGAAGTGAAGGATAAATGTACGTAAATACTTAACAATCGAATACTATATTAAATGATACTGTATTTTTCTATTGAAAAGAAATAGTTGAGTTAAATGTGATTACTCTAAATCTTAATTAATTAATTCATTCAGCAAATTGGAAGAAGGGTTGGAATTTGGAAAGGTGAAAGGGTCAATTTAACAATGAATTTAATGATTATTTAACTAACACAAGCCCACCAAAGATGCTCAGATTTTGCCAAAGCTCCTATACCAATTCCAAATTGGAAAGCAAACATAAATCGATACTATTAATTAAGAAGATGGAAGAAGAAAGCTCACATGTTGATGAAAAAGCCGGCACTTGCAACACATTTGACCTTGATAGAATCATTTGAAAAGAAAGCCTTAAATTTGTCGCAGTTCAAGATCGTGGCCAATCCTCCCGCAGATGATCCACTTAGGATTGCCTGCGATTTTATTTTAAATTTTGTGTTACTAAAAATTATAGTACGTGACTTTAATTATATATTCATTATGAAACTTACGTTTTTAGCATTTTGCAGTCCCTTGAGCGACAAATCCTGCAGAACAGCTTTTAATATCCTAGCTCCTCTGAAATATAGTTTGTTCCCCTAATATAGATTTGACATTTCCAATATAATTGATCAGAAATATAAATCATGTTAAAATGATAATTATTATATAAGACATGTGTTACTTATCTACTTACTGGATCAACATCTTCAACGTCACCAGTAAATGACGATCCATCGCAATAATTTACCCATACTCGATTCCAATTGTAAAAGTCTGCCATAACAAATAGTATTAGCGAATAATTAGAAGAATGGTAAACATTTATTTGGCAAGTAAATTCCCAAGAGACAAACTAATGTAAATCAGTAAGGAATATATTGCAAGAATTGTTATAAAAACAAAATTTATTAAGTATTTATTTAGAACACCCACACCCACCGCACTTAACCCCTACAACAACATTCTCGTGAAATCAATTTAAAATCATGTAGTAATAATATATAGATTGAATACAGTACCGCTACGAATGCTATTAATGAGAATGATAAGATGATACAATAATAAAAAATGTAATCATAAGACGATATTGATGCTGACTAACATGTAACATATTATAACTATATTAGATTATATGATTTAAGTGGTCCAAACTAATACCCAAATAAACTAAAATCCACAAGTAAAAATTAATTAAGCTAATACAAATTAAAATAAATTATGATTGGGTCACCTGGATTATATTGGGGAGTGTTATTAAGTATTCCACCAAACTGAGTTTTACCCTGCATTAACTTGGAGGAACCTGCTGGTTGAAATGTACGATAGTGGCAATCGTTTAGGTTCTCGCACCACCCTCCGCCCTAAATTAAAAGCATGCATGAACAAATTTAATTTAGCGAAAGAAAATATATAGAGTGAAAAGTGAAAAGAAAATACTCCTACTTACTTGAAGGTAGATTATCCAATTAGAAACTCCAGCATCAAATCCCCGGTCAAAGTAATATGCCGGTGGACTTCCGTCCAGACAAACTTGTTTAAGAAAAACAAACAGTTTTAGAAAATTCTAATGAAAAAAAAGTGAAAATATATAATTAAGCAGCGAATTCCAACGAACGTTACGTACCAGCGCCTTGTGTTGTGGCGTTATGGAGGATGGTAATATTGATTTTTTGCGCCACTGCAACGGCTCCTAGCCATGTTGTTAGAAGAATAAGGACAATCGTAATTGCCATCATAAAATTAACAAGGAAGAGGCGGGCGTTGGAGTAATATGAGAGACTTTTAATTAATAAGTAAGCAGTACTAGTACGTAGTTTGTAGTGACTACTTTAAAAAAAATAAAATTGTTTGAAGGTTCAATTTAAAGCTAATGAAGTGATGCCATAAGAATTAATTAGTGGCCAGTGCTCAGCCATATATAACAAATATCTAATTGTATTCTACATGGAATAAAAAATAGCATTTTGTCAACTTCTCTCTTCTAAATAGGCTTTCTAAAATTGTATTATGGACATTATTAATAAATGATTTTCCTTTCATTATCACATAATTAAATTGCTACCATATCACATGTTGCGACAAGGAAATGCGCAGTTCGTAGCACATGCCCCTTCTGGCATACAAAAGTTTTGATAACCCTTTTAGGTTTTTAGCTTAGAAAAAAGAGTTTCAGACTCTTAGGGATAGTTTAGTAGCTAATCCGACATGCATAGATAGAGAGACTTGGAGTAAAACGCAGTGGTGGATGAATCATGCAAATTGTCTTACAACTTCTCCTTCAGTTTTTGTTTTGGATTGGAAGAAGATAAGTTTCAAATCAATTAACTTTCATGCTTTCGATCCCCTTTTATAGCGAATCCTTCCACGTTAGTTCCTAATACTACTAATAGATGTATCATAAGTAACATTGACCTATTGATGTTTTTCCAATACCTCACTCCTCGTATATTCTATATTTTTATGAATATAATACAATATTTTTTTGCACCAAAATAAAAAAGAACGTAATTTCATTTTTAAAGTACATAAATAAAAGGCATTGGTTAATTGTGTGGGAATTTTGTTCCCTCTCTTTGCCTCAAATAATTGGTATTTTGTAATCTAATAATCTCTATCAATAACTCCCTTTTTGTTACAGAAAGATGATATTTTTTTCCCTTTTTATTTTAAAGAAAAAACCATCTTGGTTATCATAAAATAATAATTCATCTATTGACTTTGGCTTGGATTTGGACGTTATGTTGACATTGGGACAAAAGAGGATATTCCACAATTCAATTGTTTTTATTTATTATATATAATTATTACTAGTATTTATCACTTAATTATAAAATTATAATACTTATTACTTTACCCAGTTATAGCAAAACAATAGGGAAAGAAAGGGATTGGGATCTAAATTTTTCTCAATTAGGCACTAATCTTTTTAATTTTATCTCCTGTCCTCGTTGTTTCTCACCAAACACACCCTAAACTATAAGCTTCATTAAAAACCTATAAAATTTTGAATTTGAAATTTTTAGGTGTTTGGATCGAGTGTTGTTGCAAATGATTGGGAGTATGATATCCTTATGAGTTGATATATGTTAATTTTGAGAAAGTTTGGCGAAGATTACAATTGCTTTTTTTTGGAACAAATTGGACGATGATATATTTTTAGATCTCATAAATAAGTTTATGCATTTTGTATTTTCGAGTGTATTAATTTGTATGTCCAATATATCACTAAACACAAAGTGGCGTATTACATATAACATACAAAATACATACGATAATATAATTGTAAGATGACATGTCACGTGGCATTTACATCATTGAAATATCATTGACACGTAAGATTGATTCTCATCTCGGACAATTTTAATAGACAAGGGGTATATTTGAACGATTTAAATAACTCCATGGGGATTTTGTATGAATAATATAACAGAGAGTAAAACTGATTCTTTTACATTGCAAAGGAGCAAGTTTGACTCATTTCCCTTGACTGTTTCTATTTTACAAATTCTAAGCGTCATGCTTTACGTGAATTATATTTATCTGGCCGTTTTCATTGATACCATTAGTAATATAATAAAGAAGGGGAAATTACATGATGCAATTGGATCGTATATTTATAATACATTGTTATAGTTTTAATATTATGATACATAGCTATAGTTTCAAACTTTCAATTTCATAACAAACACCCAAATGCATGCACGTCCTTTAAAAGTGAACCCAAATTGTAGTGACGCACGCATATAATAATTAAATACAATAATTATTATATGAACACACTCCTAATGACAATAATATTATAATTAAATTCAAATCCAAATCCAATATGATCGGATAGATACTAAATCATGAGCATCTATGAGTAATTTTTAAAAGGTCCTCCTATTTTCTCTTTAAGTGATTTTCTAAACTTTTTAATTTGTTCCAAACTAAGTACTTATTTTTCTTTCTAAAACAAGAAGAAATATTAGCCTCATGCCCTCATCTAAAAAATGCTTTAAAAACTATGTAACTAAAAAGCATGTTTGGCATAGAAGGTCAAATGCATTTATTTGAGAATTTTTTGTTTTTTAAAAAAAAAATTAAAATATCTAATTGTGTTCTACATGAAAGAAAAAATAGCATTTTGTCAACTTCTCTCTTTTAAATAGACTTTCTAAAACCGTATGGACATTAATAAATGATTTTCCTTTCATTATCACATAATTTAATTGCTACTATATCACATCATGTGAACTATGTTGCGACAAGGAAATGCGCAGTTCGGAGCACATGCTGAGAACAACGTAACCCCTTCTGGCATACAAAAGTTTTGATAACCCTTTTAGGTTTTTAGCTTAGAAAATGTATTTTTTTAGGCTTCAGACTCATAGGGATCGTTTGGTAGCTAATCCGACATGCATATATACATAGAGACTTGGAGTAAAACGCAGTGGTGGATAAATCATGCAAATCGTCTTACAACTTCTCCTTCAGTTTTTTGTTTTGGATTGGAAGAAGATAAAATACAAATTACTACGTCAGAGACATAGCTAATTAACTTTCTTGTTTTCGAGGTTCCGATCCCCTTTTATAGTGACTCAGTAACGAGTCCTTCCACGATAGTTCCTAATACTACTAATATATGTATCATAAGTAACATTGACCAATTGATGTTTTTACAATACCTCACTCCTCGTATATTCTATATTATTATGAATATAATACAATATCTTTTTGCACCAAAATAAAAGAATGTTATTTTTTTTAAGTATATAAATTAAAGGCATTGGTTAATTGTGTGAGAATTTTGTTCCCTTTCTTTGCCTCAACCTTTTTTGTTATAGAAAGATGATAGTTTTTTTTTTCTTTTTTTTTTAAAGAAAAATCCATCTTGGTTATCAAAAAATAATAATTCATCTATTGACTTTGGCTTGGATTTGGACGCTATGTTGACATTGGGACAAAAGAGGATATTCCACAATTCAATTGTTTTTATTTAGTACTACTATACGTACTTGCTCGGTGCACGGAGATTATTAAAAAAAATATCTAATTGTGTATGATAATGCACGAAGAGATGGGAATGAAAAAATTAGGCTGAATTTTTAGTGCAATTCTTTTTATTTCTAAAAAACGATGTAGTTAAATTTGAATTCCTTAAATATAGGATTCTAAGTGTAGTTTTATCTTCTAATGTTTAGAAATCACCCACGTATAAATTTTATTTATTTTTTTAATTAAAATTTAAATTTGAATATTAACAGTAAAAACTTAAAATAGTTAAGAAAAATTGATTATTTTTTAAAAGGCATATCACTTGACTTAATTTTAGGATATTCTTAATTCTTTTTAATTACAGATACAGTTTAAATATATTTTATTATTATTATTATAAGAAAAATAATCGTTAGATTAGAATAAATATAACTTAAAAAATTCCTACAATTATGATAGTACTAAACATAAAATTTAAAGTAAAAAAAAATTAAACACTTAAATATCTAATTGTAGGAATGCATTTAAATTTTTAAATTGTCTTTTAATTTTTCTAAAAAATCATATATCAATCAAGTATATGATATTTTAAATATTGTATTTTAGTACTATATAATCCTTATAGTTGAATGATATTATAATAAATGTATTACCAAAAAAATAATTACTTTGGTTGCTTCCTCATATCCCCTTTAATCTCTCATTCCTCTATGTTTCAATGATAATGATCTTTTAACCTTCTAAATTTTTTGTTGATCTTTTATAAGTTTAAATATTAATATCGAACTAGTTAATCAAATCGCGCTTCGCGCAGTCATATGTTTCTATATTAATTGATATAAAAAAATTAAAAAATTCCAATACTAAAATATATATTGAAAAAATTAAACAGAAAATAACAATAAAATTAAAAAAACAATAGAATTAATCAGTTTCAAGAAAAATAAGAAGAGCATTATAATTTTTCCTTGGAACAATACAAAAACATATTTCTTTATGCGCCAATTTTATATACGTTGCTATCTCATTTTTGGGTGTTTTAAATTATTTATGTTATTTTACTAATAATTTCCTTTACATAATACTATTTACGTTTATATATCAATTTGTTTAATTGATAAAATTAATATGAAAGGCAAAAAAATTAATATTTCGTACAAAATTTACATTAAAAATTAGAAATAAAAAATGCACAAGAGAGCTCAAATATCAATTTTGTATAGAAACTGAATAAATTATGTAATTCAAACACTACATAAAGATGAAGAAGTTAAAACCGAATATCAATGATTCATATATCAATATGTGGATGAGTTTTGATTTTCAATAAAGAATATGAAAAATTTGGAAAATAAATGATAACAATTGTGACTTTTATTCTTATAAACTAATAAAATAAATAAGAATATAGGGAAAAATTACATTTTTTGGCTAGTGCAATATTTTTTTACTGTCGAGTTTAATCATGAGTTCATCATGAAACGTTATAAATATAAATGGATGTTAGAGTTTTTTTTTAGAGTAACGCCTTTTCATTTTTAAAATTTATTTAGTGAACAATTATCTTATATTTTAATTGACTAATTACGTAAATATTTTTAGATTATTGAAAATTAGATAAAAAGAGAAATCTCATAATTAGGAGAGTTAAAGGGATGATTTGATTTTTTTTCAAGCTATTTGAAATGATATTTCATTAGACTACTCTATTTTAATAAATTTTCATTCGTTGAGGAGAAAATGAAAGATTTGAGTG